ATAGAATAGAATAGAATAGAATAGAATAGAATAGAATAGAATAGAATTCTTTATTGGCCAAGTGTGGTTGGAAACACAAGGAATTTGTCTTGGTGCAAATACTCTTAGTATACATAAAAGAAAAGATATATTCATCAAAAATCAAGAATCATAAGGTACAACACTTAATGATAGTCATAGAGTACAGTAAGCAATCAAATTATACTAGGAAACAGTCAATATAGATCGTAAGGATACAAGCAACAAAGTTACATTCATACAGTCACAAGTGGGAAGGGATGGGTGATAAGGAGTGATGAGAAGATTAACAGTAACAGTAATGCAGACTTTGTAATAGTTGACCAGTGTTGATGGAATTATTTGTTTAGCAGAGTGATGGCTTTCGGGGAAAAACTGTTCTTGTATCTAGTTGTTCTGGTGTGCAGTGCTCTAGCATCGTTTTGAGGGGTTGAAACAGTTTAGATTAGATTAGATTAGATTCAACTTTATTGTCATACAGGCAATGAAATGTAGTTAGCATCCAACCAGAAGTGCAAAACAACAGTAAAATATAAATATATGTATGCAAATATGCAAGGCATCCAATGGAAAACACAACAAAATGTATGTACACGAGCACACATATGTGACTGCACATATATGAACATATACAACTGTACAAAGTGTTTATGGACACATTGAATATAAATACAAATGCACAGAGAATTATACAAAATACATCATATATTATCAGCATATGTGTGGTGACAAGCGAACTGAGGAGTTCAGCAAGGAAATAGCTGTCTGGTAAAAGCTGTTCCCTAGCCTGCTGGTCTTAGACTACAGGCACCTGAACCTCCTCCCAGATGGAAGAAGAGTAAACAGTTTGTGGGCTGGATGGAAGGGGTCCTTAATGATGCTGTGGGCTTTACGCAGACATCGTTTCCTCTGAATGTCCACAATGGCAGGAAGTGGAATCCCTATAATGTGCTGGGTGGTTTTCACCACCCTCTGTAATGTCTTTTTTTCTTTTATAGTGCAATTTCCATACCAAACTGAGATATAGCTAGTTAAGATGCTCTCGACTGTGCAGTGGTAGAAATTAGTCAGAATAGCTGAGGAGAGGTGATTCTTCCTCAGTAATCTCAGGAAGAAGAGGCGCTGGTGAGCTTTCTTAATCAGACTAGTGGTGTTGATCAGCTAGGACAAGTCCTCAGAGAGATGGATCCCCAGGAACTTGAAGCTGGTGACACGTTCTACCATTCTCCCGTTGATGTATATAGGAGAGTGTGTGTGACCATTCTTTTTCCTGAAGTCCACAATGAGCTCTTTGGTCTTGTTAGTATTAAGTAATAAGTTATTGTCAGCGCACCATGTAGTTAGGCACTGCACCTCCTCCCTATACTCTGAATCATCATCATCATCGTTGTTGAGTCCGATCACGAACTTGATAATGGTGTTAGAGCCATACGCAGGCCTGCAGTCATAGGTGAAGAGAGAGAACAGGAAGGGGCTCAGCACACAGCCTTGGGTATGCCAGTACTCAGTGTGATAGTAGATGAAGTGGAGTTATTCAGCTTGACATGTTGTGGTCTGTTTGTCAAAAAGTCCAGTATCCAATTACAAAGAGTAGTGTTAATACCAAGCTCACCAAGTTTAGTGATCAACCTGGAGGGAATGACTATTAAATGCAGAACTGAAGCCAATAAACAGCATTCTAGCATAGGTATTCTTATTGTCCAGGTGTGTTAAAGTGGTGTGCAATCCTATGGAAACAGCATCCTTGGTACTCCTGTTCTTGCTGTAGGCAAATTGGTAAGGGTGCACTGTAGTTGGGAGGCAAGTTTTGAGACGTGCCAGGACAGCCGGGATGTGAGGGGTCTGTAAATATTTTCACAGCCCTCTTTTTGATTCGTGCAGTATACAGGTCCTCGATTGAAGGCAGGTTGGTAGTAATTGTTTTTTTAGCTCATTACAAATCAATATTTTGCTAAGCTGACCTTATCTGTTTTCTAGGGTTTAAGCTGAGGATGGATGACCAGCTATTCAAACTGACTGGATGAACATTTTTGGATATATTTATTGAGAGTGAAAGTCAGATTCTATTTCAAAAACTCAGGGGAAGAATGCAAGGACAAAATCTCATACAAAATTATGTTAAAAAAAAAAAACCTTTATCAAATGTTGCTCTGTCCCCATTCTACTATGTCTATTAGAATTTTTATAGCAAGGATGACTAACCTTTTGCAATTGAGAATTTCTATTTGCCCCACTTTCAAGCAAATTCTTACTATTGAGGTAGAAAATGGCACGTGTCCCTTTCCAACAAGAAGGGATATCACCCTGACTTTCAGCTTTCTGAAGGTCTGTTCAATAGCTGGGAGGATCTTGAAGTATTTTGAGGAGGGATTTCTGTGGGGTAGGTTAAAACTCTCCTGTATGCTCTCAGGATTGCTGAGGAGAGTGATCTAAAGCTGTATGTGGTAAGCAAAGTGAGAGCTCTTGAATCTACCCTTGTCAGGAGCAAGGAACTAAACAAGTTCATGAACAGACCAAAGCAGTTTCTTTATTGTTGGTCACCTATATTGCAAGAATCTTACCAGCTTGGCTGCATTCCCTTGTAAACTAGCAGATAAGGTTTTGCTAGTATGGTCTATAATATTTCCTCCCTTGAAGTGACTCCATAATAGCATGACTCTTAACTCCCCTCTGTCGTTTAATTGGTGATCGCACTATATCCTTATAGAAAACCATTGCATGCACAATACTCACTTTTAATGTCATTCTCCCCCCACCCCCCATATACAAGGTTCCTAATAATTTATCTATGCAAATGCACCAGAAGGATTAAACTGAACAAAATGACA